TGTGCAGTTGGAGACTACATAAGCGACTATCCATAAGGATCTAGTCTAAGAGAGCTACTTCCGCCTTAGGACCTAATACTATACCTACACCAGTGAGGCCACAAGAATCAGCAGTGAGGCTTCCAGATACATGATGTGTAAGTCGAAACGGTTCTTTGTCTTGACTAGGTGAAGTCAATAAATGATTTTGCTCGGATCCTGTATACGTGTTCCGGAGACGCATCATTCATCGAAGGCATGGGATTCTGAAGTCATTATTAAGGAAATCTGTTGTTCTATTCGGCACAAGGTCCGGAAAATAAAAGTCGCAACATGTAGTTTTGGGCATGGCTTCAGGAGACCAGGGATAACATTTCGTGTAGTGGAACCGTTCGCATCATCTGCGTGAAGTGATGAAGGAACGTGATAAGGGTTGGTCGTGGAGATAAGAGGGTTACTAAGTGGTGTAGGAAGTATTTGACCGTGATCAAGTTGATCTAGTGTGCTGTCAGTCAGTTAGCTGCAACGTAGAACTTCGTACGTAAGAACATCAGTTCAGTTTGGCATACTACATTAGCACAGAGACGCAATTGTCAATTGAAATCCCATAGTGTTAGAGATAGTTGAAGTACTACTGGTAAAGAAGATTGCGGTTCCAAGATGTTATTGAAGAAGTATAATTCAGTGAGATAAGTTTAGAAAGACAACGGTACAGGTAGTGACCAATCCGGAAGATTGGGATTTGAGAGAACACAAAGAGTGGATGCACCTGCGCCATTGCAAACGATTTTCAGCCAAGTCATTCAAGGTCTCTAACCATTGGTGACTTTCGTCTCGTGGACCCCAACGAGGTAGCCTACATCTACAAACATGAATCAGACCACTAGTCAGTGACTTCATGGATTTCTGCCATGTTTTGGTCTGGCTGCCCATAGCTTTCTTCCAACCTGCTCCTACACCACGAAACAAAGCTGGTAGAGACAGTCGGTGGTCGGGCATTCGTAACACATGTCCCAACCACCTCAACTGATGAAGTTTCAAAACTTCATCTATTGACCTACCACCCTTACCTAGTACTAGTTTCTTAACGACAGCATTGCTTACTCCGTTGTTTCAGGACACACGAGCAATGCTTCTAAGATATTTATGATCAAATACTAGTAACCTACGAATATCTTCTATTCTTACCGGCCATGTTTCACAACCATACAGGAGAACGGAGCGAACTACTGCGCAGCACTCGTCCTTTAGTCAGCAAACGTATATCTCGTCTGCGCCATATATGACGTAAAGTGGCAAAAGCCAATCGAGCCTATTGTATCCGTGCTGAGATTTCGTCAGTCACCAGGCCATCAGCACCGACGATACTCCCGAGATAAGTGAAGCGGTCGACACGCTCAACTGCTTCACTCCCTATCACTAGTCCAGATGCCGATGCAACCGTATCCTGAAGCAACATTTAGCATTTCGTGGAGGAAAACCGCATCCCGAAAATGCTTGCATTGTTACTTAGGGTGGTCAGAAGACTCTGCATTTTGTCAGCGTCTTCACCGAATAGAATTATGTCATCGGCATATTCTAGGTTAATAAGCGATCTTCCCGGTAGGAGGTCTACCCCTAAAAAATCTGACGGGGATAATGTTAACTCCAAAAGCATGTCTACGACAAAGTTAAACAAGAATGGAAAGAGTGGACATCCTTGACGGAAGCCACTTGGAGTACAGAAATCCGATGACAGTTCACCATGGATCTCACCTGACCAGAAGAGTTCAAGTAGAGAGCTTGTATAAGGTTAATGTACTTCTTTAGTACACCCTTCAATGACAGACACTGCCACAGAACCTCACTATCAACAGAGTCAAATGCAGCCTTAAAGTCCAGGAAAAAAACTATTGTAGGACGCCTAAATATGTGTCTGTGTTGCAGGACCTGTCGTAGAGTGAAAACGTAGTCTATACAGCCACGTCCGGGTTTGAAACAAGCATGGTTTTCTCGAGTCTGCTCTTCACGAGCTCTAGTTAGGCGTCTAAGGATTATAGAGGCTAACAGTTTAGAAACTATATTAGTTAGACTGATTCCCCTGTGATTGTCACAAGAAGACTTTTGTCCTTTCTTATAAATTGGGACAATCAAGGATAGAGACCAGTCGGATGGGATTACGTCCAGTTCCCAGATTCTACCTAAGATCTCAGTCGATCTAGCTGCTAAAACTGGACCACCATCCTTAAACATCTCAGGGGTCAGTCTATCAGGACCTGCTGCCCTTCCTCGCTTCAGATTTCCTATAGCTTTCTCAACTTCATAAAGACTAGGAGGACTTAAATCGACATGCCATTCATGACTTGGGATCGTGGGCAACCGAAGTGTGGCAGAAGGCCAGTTGAACTGATCCCTAAAGTCTTGTGCCCATCGAACCAATCTCCTGGACTGACAATGAATAATAAGACCATCCTTTTCCGAGATAGTCTCACTTGCAGTCGGATTCTTAATACCGGTTTACTTTAGCAGGCGGAAAAGTTGTTTACTGTTGCCTATTGCCGCTGCCTTTTCCATCGCTTTTGCTATCGCCACCCACCACTGTTCGCGGTCATTGCGTTGGCTTCTTATCAGCCGGCGCTTGAGCTGACTTCGTTCTTCATCATGTTTAGAGCCAGGTGGGATGGGTTTTCGAACATCCATCAGTTTGGTGGATGCTACTGAAATCCACCGCTTCATTCTAGCCTTATGGTCAACCTTACTAGCAGATATCACTACTGTTTCCACAGCCTTCTTGATATCATTCCAACCTGCCTCCGGATGGGAATCGCTTAAATGGTCGCCTAACTGTTTTTCTAGTTGCTCCTGCAATATATTCTTCGCCCTATTATCATTATAAAAGGCTAAGAGGCTTTCTTACGGTGTCTTTCCTAGGTCCAGTAAGCCTCAAAAAAATACGCGCTCGCACTAGGGCATGATCTGAATCTAAACATGTGCCCCAGAACGAGCGACAGTCCTCTATCGAACCCCTCCATCGGTGGCTGATAGCGATGTGTTCTAGTTGGGTCCAACGTTGAAACAACTTCGGGGTTCGCCAGGCCAAAAGATGTTTTTCCTTATGCATAAAGTTAGTGTTTGCTAGAAATAGTTGGTTATCCGAGCATACTTGCAACAGACGGTCGCCATTGTCTGTTCTCTGAGCCGCGACACCATAACATCCACCAAGGTGTCTTTCATTTTCACTTAGTCTACCTACTTGAGCATTAAAGTCACCAGCCATTATTACTACATCAGAGTGTCTAGCGTTTCGGAGGAGGTCCGAACGCTTTCTGTAAAACTCATCTTCCACCACGTCTGAGCTGCAGTCAGTGGGGGCGTAGGCTGATACGATGAAGAGGCAACGGCGAGTGTCCCTATCTTTCCGAGTCCTTACTGTACTGCTCAGTCGGACAGAGCACAAGCGACTATCTACTGGGATCCAGTCTAGGAAAGATAGTTCTGCTCTACGACTCAATGCTATACCTACACCAGCGAGACCCCGGGAAGCAGCACCAGGGCTTCCAGATACACGAATAGTAAATTGGGCTTCTTCTTTGTTTTGATAAGGCGAAATCAGAATAATTATTTTACTAGGCTCCTGTATGCGCGTTTCCGAGATACAGCATACATCGATGGCGTGAGATTCTGATGTCCTAGCTAAGGAAGCCTGTTTCCCTATTTGACACAAGGTCCGTACATTAAATGCTCGAACATGTAACTTAGAACGAGCGTTCAGGCGACCAGGAATAACGTTTAGTGAACTCGAGTTGTTTGCATTAGCGGTGCCGTGTCATAAAGGAATGTGAGTAGAGTTAGTCGTGGAGAGAAGAGAGATATTTGGGGGTGTAGGAAGGATTTGATTGTGACCGATTTGGTCTCGAGTGCTGTTACGGGTATGAGGGTGGCCGTCACTTCCCGGCTGCCCACACCGTGCAAAGTTGTTGCTTGAGGGACCTGAAAAAAGTAGATTAGTGTTGGTCTTAGAGACCTGGGTGCGTGACCGCAGAGCCCAGGGGACGACTGCTTGAGGCCGGTCACGCACGGCCTTTTTATGAAAGGATTTTTGAGTATTAGCTCCGCTCTTAAAAGCCCTTAGTGGGCAGCCCTTACCGACGGAGACGGAAATCCGTGAAGTGTGACATTTTTAGAGTCGACCTTTTCTAACCCTTTCCTTCCTTGTGAGAAGGCAGCATCGCTGCAGATTCTGGTTGTCAGAGGGAAACACCTTACTGCTGTTACACCACTCTGCAGTCAGCAGTACGACTTCGCCCTCAGACCTTGAGTAGCTGTTTTAGTCTCATCGTTCTCCAAACGAACTGCCTGACATGGTAGGACCTTCAGGAACATATGTTCCAGCCAGTATAGCTCGGTTGGGTCATCACGATAGGCAAGCCCGACCACCACGTCAAGGTAGCAGCTAAGGTCGGGGATCTAGTGTGCTGTCGTGGGTATGAGAGCGAATGTCACTTCTCGGTTATCAAAACCTCGGTCGTTTCTTGAAGAAGCTGGAAAGGAGGTTGAATTAACGACCATAGAGCCGAAGGAACAACTGTGAATAACTGCTTTCATAGTACTAACCCGGATGTTTAAGGATTACCATACGTAACCAATTCCGAAAAAAACCAGTACTTCTGATACCAAAATAAGAAAGATTGAGTTTATAGTTGTTAGGATAGGTCTAACTGAAGTTTTAATATTATTTGTTTCAGAGGTCATTTATTACGATGGTTATGTGGATATTTAGTTTATGGATAAGCACTCAGGTATCCAACTGAAATAATTTATCAGATGATTACTTAATTATCGTCTAAAGCCAGATTCATAAACTAAGTTGGAAATACATTGCAGACAACCCCATCCCAAAACACAAGATACCATCGATCTTGGCACAAATACTAGGTCAATCTTACTCAATTAAGGCGAGTTTGTCATTTCGTCCGACAATTTCAGTGCCAGAATGATGTTCGCGCATGAATTTGAACTAAAGAAATTAGAGAGCAAGGTGTGAAAATAAACACTTCTATTTACGGAAGTTAAACATCATATACAACTGGATTATATTTACGACAATTGGCAAAGTTATCAAGTAGTATACATATTGCGTCTTACAGCATTAGAGCAGTTCCAAATAATGGTCGAATAATACATATAATTTAGTGAGATTTGTGTTTCTCTGTAACTAAATCGATTACAGCTGGTAATTCAAGATCGCCCAAGTCGTAAGCATTTAAATCAAGTTTTATCCCTTGGAATCTTGATCTCAGTGCCTGTCTTGATGATGCGTATAGCATTTTAGTTTTGATAGGTGCAGTGTTGCATACCCTAAAATAGTGAGTAAGGACACGGAAATGGCAACATACCACGAGACAAAAATTAAATTCGACCCTTTAATACCTTCACATTCGAAGTCGAGTACGGCAAAACGTGCTTGTTCGGGTTTTCTAGTATCGTGGAGAAAATCATCATAATTGGAATCTGTATATAATAATTACAAGAAATTGGGAGCAACCTCTTCCAGCAAACCTCTCCACCTGAATTTGACCGTTGTCGATTTTAAACACGATATAACGGTAACAGTTTTTCATTTTTAATTCCCTGAACTTGATTTCACAGTCTTCTGTGGGTAGAATACCAGACTAATAAGCCGTAAATAGTAAACAAATCAACTCACCATCTTTGCGGAGAAGTGATGAACAGATTACTAACAGTCTACTTCAAATTGGTTTACACTACCAGTCTTCGATAGTCCAATTTTCAATAATTAGTTAGTTATGATGTAAACTTTTTATTTTTATTTGCTTTTTGAGATGTGCAAAACTTTACAAATTGTCACATATTCGTCATATTACATATAGTGGAAATTTTATGTAGCATGATGATCAAGTCGTGTTTCACAATATTTCAAAATTAACTAAGTATGTAGAGACCAGTAGATCCTCAAATAAAATAGTTTGTTAAGTCTTTGGCATTGGTATAGACCTCATTATTTGTGCCCTTAGTGAAGTTGAAGGGCTATGGATCCGCACCACATCATCGTTGGGTACGCCGTGCAACACATCCGACAAGATCCTCGAGACCCGAACTTGCAACTCATGACATTCCAGCCTGACAACATCGAAGCCTGGCTTTTGTCATGCAGAGGCTGAAATTCCTACATACAACTTGACAGATTCACGTCAACAAGTCTTTTTTGTAGCAAAAGCACTGCTACGTGAGTTAAATAGGTACAATATACCTGGTGTGCTCACTAGTGGTGTTTCCCAGTCCTACGACACCCTAAAAAAGAGATTCTGTGGTGTTTGAATGAACTAGTGACTTCTTGTTGTTGTTGAATGCTTGATTTCGAATTCTAAATACAGTACATTCGTTTGTGCTCATCTTGTAGTTCTTGATACTTAAATACAAATACTTCTAATTATCATAGATTCATAAACGCCGAGACCTAACCAATCGACAAAGGATAAATTAAGTTTTTCACAACATTAAACTACAATACGACTCTGCAACAGGAATGTTTCTCATTTCGAATATTCTTCTTACGAAGCTTTCCTAAGAAGTGCAGACCATCCTTCTCTCATTCTAAAACAACTCTGTGGACGGACTGGTTACACCGGCCCATCAGATTCTGGATATCCTCAGAACCGCCATCGCTGAGGTTTGTTCCGTTGAATAAACAACTCGGTCAACTCAGAATGAGGTTTCAGACCTGTCCAATAAAACCTTGTGTTTCCTAAATCTTCAGAAAAATCATCGACGATCGAAAACTTAGCAAGGGAGCCCATCTGGAGAAAGATTTTTCTCTTTACCTACAGAAATAGATAATCTGAATTGATCTTGGTGCAATAGAACCTATAGCATATCTAATAAAAAATGTAAGAAAAACCATACAGTTTCCCTAGCCCCAAGTCCTCTATCACAAAAATCCCGAGAAACAATCCTTCCAGCACGCGTTAAATGCGACCGTTCACGGTGAAAAATGTAGTCTTCTTTACGTCACTGGTGTAACGAGGAAGGTTCTCTTTCTCATCGACACTGGGAGAGAGGTAGAAATCCTTCCAACGAACACAAACATTGACTTACGAGATCCAGTTTCCAATATAAAGGCGGCCAAAGAAAAACCTTACTTCGCTTGTCAAATGTTTACCCTGTTTTTACTTACTTACTTACTTCCTTACTCATATTACCCTCAATGGAGCTTGGGCCTCCGACCAGTTTTCTCAAATCAACGTTGTCCAGTTCTACAAACTATTCTGACCATCTGTTTCGTTGCTCTTGAATGTTGGTAATGATTTGCCTTATTTATTCCCAACTGGTCGTTTCTTCCTGCGTTACTTTCCAGGAGGTTCTTCCTCTTATCGTTTAGTTGTCTCATGTTTTCTTCTCTTGAAGATTTTTCTGTTATCACTGCTCGATCTTCCACATATTTTTTAAGATCAGCTCTGATATCCGTCTTCACTTCCTTGTTTGTTTCTTTGTATTCAGCCTGTGGCATGTCTTTCTTAGCTCTTGTCACCTGATATCAACAACAGACTTCCCGTTCTTTCTATTCTAAATCTTTCCCACAGTATCCACAAAGGTTCGTTCCACGTGATGGCGGTTCTTGTAGCCTACAGCATCATGACATGTTGAGGTTATTGCTTCTCTGATCTCTTTCAGTACAGTTCACCAAAGTTGTTTTCTCTTCATCGAGTCTGTCGGGAAAGACATGGAAAAAGTTACTAAGAGCTACCTCGAATTCGTTGATTTCGCCAGTTTTCCGGAGAAGGGTCAGAGTTCACTATTGTGATGCTGTTCTTCAATCATCCAGCGTTTCTCCAGTTTCACTTTTATCTTATTCACCAGGTGATCAGAAGCAATATTATCTCTTCTATTGGTTCCTATGTCCTTCATCGTCCTTCCGAACCTTTCATCAATGCAATTTTTGTTCTGTATAGTATAGTCTAGTTAAACCTATGTGGCTCTGAGTATGGGTTTATAGGCGTATGTGGTTCTGCTTACGACCTGTTTGTTAAAGGTTATCAGATCTGTTTTTTCCAGTCCATATCATTCACTGATATCTTCATATCCGCTGTTGACCACTCCAGTCATGGCATTTAGGTCTCCTATTAGAATGGTCGAGTCCTTTGATAGGTGTTTCTTAACGATTGACTGAAGACCGTTGTTGGGGACGTTAGATCCCCAGAACTCGCTTGATGAATGTCCTTATTTTGGATTTTATTCATGTGCCGATCAGTTGACCTTGAGATCGAATTTCCCACCAAGAGAATACTTTGCTGTGTTACGCTAGTGTGCTGTTTTTGTGACTCGCCCAGGGACGTTATTATGATGCATAAATAAACGTGATTTGTGATTTGATTCACTTCGCTTGCTGGGTTTTTACAGAAAACACCTTTTACTCTATATCAAGACCTTTTCGTTAGTTCCTTTGGGTCTAAAGATCAGAGTAGCCTACGCGGACACTGGTTCATTGTTTCGTTCTCCATTATTGACTAAGATGAACCCGTAATAGTTCTAAGCAAAGCAAGTGACGAGCATATCAACCGTAGAATCAATCTTTAACGTCTTGATCATAATCGTTAGTAGACGCATAATACAGGACGACGTTCACTGCAATCCCTTCTTTCTTTATTTTGAAGGATGTTTTGATGATCCTGGTTTCATGAAATTCCCATTTTATCAGTGCCTGTTTGGATGGCAACAATTCAATTCCTTGGGTAAGCGTAGCATATAAGTATATCCTCCAGAACTCACTTAAAAAAGCCCTAATTTTGAATTTTCATGTTTTCGCGCATTGGCTGCTCAGTTTACGTTGCGATAATATGTCCCACTCAGAAAATCCTTGACTTTAGTAGGTTGGTGAATTATTTTAATACGCCTCTTTCGGCTGGGGACTATCATCTCCCTCTTGGACAAGCTATTCATGATGCATATCTTGAGACCTGCTGTGTTAAGGGAGAAAGGAAGACATTTGGCTGAATAAAACCTTTATATAAATATCATTAATTTCAATGTTTTTTGGGTATATTTGTTTTACTTAACTTATGAACTTGTGTGATTTATTATTTTCGGACATTTTGGTTTCTGTCTTGGTTTGCTAATTGGGAGTTTTTGCTCCAGGAACCTATAAAATTGAAGGTTTTTATTATAGTTATTATAGTTATTGTTGTTAGAACGACATTTCGGTTGACTATTTGTGAACTGCGAATAAACTTTGGTACCTAACTTTGGAGTTTGGTTCTGTTGTTAATTTGGGTTCGTGAATTGCAAATAGATCTACATACTGTACTTCAATAACGGGAAGGAGCAAAACTTGGACGTAACATGCTGGTTGTTATCATTGCCATCTCCTCAGATCACTTACTTAACCTATCTCGTCTATTATCTTTGTTTCCTCTTCCTTGCTTACACTACGGTCCTCTCTTACATTCTTCACGACCAATTAACAAACTAAATTCATCTTTATATTACTCAGTTCTGAAATTTTATTCATATTAGCATTAGAATTTTATCCTTATTACCCTTATTACTCTCCACATTGCAACTAACTGTTCTCCCGTCTGGTAATGTGATGGCTACTGGGATTCAGAAACCCTACTGCCCTGAAACAAACGTTTTCATTCAAATCCCGAGACATACAAACTCACAACCAACTGCCAACTGACTAGAATTAGACAGTCGAGTGGCTAGACCTCCATCCATTGGACATTACCGAACACCTGGAACCGTACCGAAAAAACAGGAATCGAGCGCGAAGAAATCAAATTGGTTTACACTAGCTCGTGAAAAAGATATTGGATATTGGCTCTCTCAAGGACGTTTCTATCATGTATAATTAAAAACGATTTGTGTGCTTGTCAACGTCATACTTTCTGGGTGCTTGTAAAATACAATTTCTACGCCTTACTAAGACTTCTTGATATTGTTTGCAGGACCGGGATCAATCAACTCGTAATAGCCTATCGTGTTACTGCATCATTGTCAGCGCTGCATTTACCGACTAAGGTGAACTCGTTATAGTTTCAAAAATATCAACTGACGAGAGACTGGGGTTTTGGAAACATGGGTTCTTCCATACTTGAATTATTACTTTAGCAGCATCTGAAACCAATGCAGATGTTGAGAGATATCAAGATTTCCCCTTCCACAATGCGTAGCTCATCTAATGCAACAACACCTCCATTAGTAGACGGCGTCATAATTAGGATTGCTGAGTTTCATTATGATCCTGATGCCATTGTTACTTTTGAGAGGTGGTTACGGCTTTATGAAGATTTATATAAATTTGATTTCTCCAATCAAGATGTTGCTTGGAAGGTTCGGCTGCTACTTCGAAAGCTGGATGCTAGTGAGATGGACAAGTACTGTAATTTGATCCTGCCTTTGAACACACGAGATCGCTTATTCTCAAATACAGTCCTAAAATTAGGCCCACATTTTGGCTACAACTCATCTTTGTTTAATACACGTTAACGATGTTTGAAGTTAGCTATGAACGAAGATGATGATTTTCTTACTCATGTCGGCATCGTCGACCGGGAATGCAAACGCTTTCGGTCGAAGTCTTTGTCTGAAGACCCGTTAAAAGCCCCCATACTCATTTTACAGCCTCCAGTCTCATAAGTTCAGTGACCTGAGAACACGGATACTGTTTTGATTGGAGCAAGATCCGAAGCTCACTCTTAGTGACATGGCTAATGAATTCCAACGTTTCACTAATCTACAACGAGATACAACTATAGTGCAGAGTGTTGGGTCAGGTCGATTTAGTACGGAAC